TGGGGGAGCTTCAACAGCTTTAGTGGGAGTTGGAATATCAAAGTATCCTTAAAAATGACTTCTTTGACATGCTTCGGTGAATTTAGTTTGTGGCTTTCTTGATTCCACATATCTCTCAAGCAGAAGGAGGTCCTGGTCAGATGTGGGGCCGCGCCAAGGCTCGCGAATCTTTCGAGTCAGATTCAACCTCTAATCAACGACCATCTATTTTCAACATCGGCATCAATTCTGGATATGGCGAACTCCAAGTGTGTAAAAACAGCCCGGTGTGAAGAAGTCACTTGTTAACAAATGAGTAGATATGAATACGTCCGCGCGTTCGAGCAGCCGGATGTCTTGCTGCCCAATACGTGGATTGTGGTGAGGATCGATGGAAGGGGGTTTCACGGGTGAGTACTTTCCAACCTCGATTATCGAAATTATGGCACATATGCCTGACATTTTCTATTCTTGGTGGTGTTGATTTGTGCTGCCACTGGAGATAAAGGTCTTTGCTTTTTGTCTTGCCTCATGCTTTTCAATTGCTCTTTCGTTTCTAGCCCTTGGATTTTCCGGTCCTAGTCGCATTCAATTACTTGTTGAGGCCAATTAGGCTGACGAATGGAACTCGCTTTAGGTTTACAACGAAATACAAGTTCAAGAAGCCGAACGATGCTCGCGCATTAGAGCTCATGAACGCAGCGGCTGAGGGTGTGATGCGAGAGCTGCCGGATTTAGTGGTGGCGTATGGGGTTAGTGATGAGTTCAGGTACGTGAAATTCCCCCTAGCTCATTCCTTTACCTATACTCACATTTAAGTAGCTTTGTTTTCCACAAGGATTGCACACTGTTTGAGCGGAGGGCGAGGTATGTAACGAGCGAACTTTCTTTCCGAAACATGGGGGTTCTTATATTATCATAGCAAGCTTACGACTACGATTGTTTCCACATTCAGCTCGTACTATGTCTACTTGTGGCCGAAGTATTTCCCGGATACCCCACTTACACCACCATTGCCTAGTTTTGATGGAAGGGCCGTGGTGTATCCTAGTGTGAGGAATTTGAGGGATTATATGAGTTGGAGACAGGTCGATTGTAAGCCTGTAACAACTGAGAAGTTTCGATTCAAGTCTGACATGGGATAGGCCACATCAACAACCTCTACAACACCACGTTCTGGGCTCTCGTCCAGCTTGGCGGTATGGACGCACAAGCTGCAGAAAAGGAGCTCACGGGGACTCTCTCCGCCGACAAAAACGAGATCCTCTTTTCGAGATTCAAAATCAACTATAACAACGAGCCAGAGATGTTCAAAAAAGGGAGTGTGATTTTTCGAGACGTAAGTTTGGGATTCGATGGTCTTTCAATGCCACTGCGAAGACACTGACGAACTTAGTTTGATCTTCCATCCACGGCGTCAAATGAGTTGGCGGAAGGTGTCGCAATATCGCCAGTTTCGGCTTCCACCAAGAGCCCACTCTCGCACCCACTCGATGATGCAGGATTCCCCCAGCCGCTCTCGAAAACAGCTACCGAGAAAGATCGGAAGCGGCGCGTTAAAGCTCGCATCGTTGTAGCACATATCGACATCATCAAAGACGAATTCTGGGCGGCTAGGCCTTGGATCCTGAGTGGAAAGGCTCCGTGATCGCCTTCACATTGGCCGACTCAAATTTTCCGTCTCGTCACTTTCTCAGCCGAAGCTTTATTCACTACGAAGCCGCGCGACTTGCTATCTTCGAGGGGCTCTAAAGGGATATGCAAGTGTGCCCTAAGTCTACCGTGTGGATCCTCTCTGCAAAACCTTCATGCTCTCCGTACACCATGAAGGATCGAGCAAATCCCTACTACGTGAGATGGAACCTTGTGTCAACAGGATTCTGTCGATCCGAGAATATATTCCTTGCGAATGGTCCTCTACATGCACGACTATAATGTCTAATGAGGAGTCGATTAAAAGGACTAGCGTTGCTGAGTCATCTCACCGCCCAGAGATTCGGATCTAAACACTGTAGAAAGTAGTGGAAAGTAGTGGAATTCCGTGTAAAGAGGGGTTCTAAGTATTACTTAGCGTAAGGGAAGTATCTTCTGTGTCACTGTGGTTAAAGATCACCTACGCCAAATCACAATATGATAGAAACATCTTCGTAGCGGGCATCGTCGCGAGAAGCAGACTCATCACCCATCACATTATAGAACACACATTCACTTTCAATTCATAAATGGAAATACATCAAGATCGTAACCGGGGCGTACGCCCCTTTTGCTGTTCTTTTTTATTTTCAGACTCCAAGAACTCCAGACTCCAAACTCCAAGACTCCAAACTCCAAGACTCCAAACTCCAAGACTCCAAACTCCTAGACTCCTAGACTCCTAAATTTGAGCACATCCCGATTTCTTTTTTTGTAATTTTTTTCTTCGAAAGAAACTCAATGCTTACCCAAACCCCAAGAACCGGAAAGACAAATTTTAGCGTTAGAACTTCTCCTAAGAGGAAAGCACTAGAGTCTGCTCCGCGTTAGCCTAGCAATCAGGAACCTTGCTTACCTTCAAGGTGTGCGGAGAAATCCAACCCAGAGACATCTCGTCTCTCAAATTAGTCATCAGACATCTCGCTCGCGGCGGATGACGGTAGCATCTCACCGAGTAAGACATCCGCGCAATACATAGCGTCCTTCTCCGGATCCAGGTCGTCCTCAGGCATCTCAAACTCGGATGACTCACGTACCTCTATAGCCTCCAGATCCTTATTGATAAAAGTGATCATGTCGACTAAGGTACCCTTGACGTCTTCGAAAAATTGATCGCGGAGGCTATCCGCATTATCAACGGCTTCAATGTTCTGATCGATATAGTTGAGGCCTTGCTCGCAAGTATCGTGGAACGTCTCCACGAACTCTTCTAGGAGTTTCGCGAGAGAGTCGGATTCGACGGCCTGTACAGGTTCCTCGTCATCGGTATCATCGCCCTCAGACTCAGTCTCTTCAGGCGCAAGATCCTCGGACCACCAAGGCACATGCAAATACAGCACATCCTGTTTGATCCCGTACTTCTCGCCCCAGCACTGGCACGGGCCATATTCCGCTTCTAAAACAGTGACCTCACCGGAGTTGATCGGGTACTTAGCTTGCGAGAGATACTGCCGTAACGTCTCCTTAGTCCCACCGACATGATGCTTCGCAACACGCCGTAGGAGCAGCTTCGAGTGCTGCGTGACCTTCGTGCCGCCCTTGACCTCGACCCAGCTAAGGGGATGCACGAGATCAACGCCGCGGTTTTCGAACTTGCGGGTGTGGTTCTCCGTCGGGGACACAGGCGTGAGAGGGCTATCCCACGCCGCTTCTTGCAAGCACTGGTAGATCCAGGGATCGACGTACGTGCGATCAGTTTCGGGATCCCACGGATCTGGGAAGAGTTGCTGCAAGCAGACGCGCTCTTCGTAATCCTCCTCGTTTTCCGCGGCGGTTGGGACGCGGGAGAGGATGTCGTCCCAGATTCCGGACCAGCGTTGCCACTCCCAGGCAAAGATAGAGCGCATCTCGTAGACGGGATTGGTCTCGATGAGGATGATCTCCTCGCTGGCTTGAGCGTCATGGTGCGTTTTCGGCTTCTTGTAGGCGGAAACAACCTCGTAGTCAACTTCAGAAGAGATCGACCGTTCGCGCTTCCGCCCGCCCACACCAGCCATGCTAGCGCGCTTCGGGGTGACAGTCCGAACGAACTCATCCTCGCCTACCTGCACCCAATCTACCTCCTCTCCCCCATTGTCGCTGTAAACGGTAGTATCAGTTTCATAGCCATCAGACTCGGACTCCGAATCGTCAACCGACCAATATCCCGAGGAAGACGACTCATACATCTCGTCATCCCAATCCTCGTGAGTACGTTGCTTACCTGCAACGCCGTTAGTGCGGGAATCGACCTGCGGTGTTATGGCTACGTACCAGAAGCCTGCGGCGTCTCGTGCCGCCCACGGAACCCCCCGATCTGTCTCTACCATCTCGTCCTCTGTCATACGCGTGATGCGGGCGGCGGCGGTGCGGCCGACTGAGCGTGTGGCGCACATGTGTGCGTGAGAGGGGGATGTAGAAAGCGTGAGCTGTGCCGAAAACGTGGTTAGGGCGCTTGCAAGGTGGAACCAGATAGGCCGGCTATTTGGTTAAGCTGTGAGATTGTCTTTGCAAGTGGGTGTTTTCGGAAGCTCGGCGTGGGTTGGGTTGGGTTGGAAGTGTTGGGAGGAGCAGTTGGGGTTCTTATAGGAGGGACTGCACAATGTAGGATACGTGTGAGATGGGAGGTTGGAAAAATAAGGTGGTGGGGATTTCTTTGTTTGGAGTGATGAGAGAACAATGTTATTGTAAGGGCTGAAGGCCGGCGTAGCTAGGTGACGTTGTACTTGTGCACAATACCTTTACTCTTGATCAGATACAGGGCGTGAAAACCGAGATGCCCATCCTTGATACCTAAATTAGCTTCTGCACAATCGTGGGCGTATGGTTGTTGGTAGTAGTACCCAAGGGAGCATTTCCCATCTCCCTCGAAACCACACAAAGGTAAACAACGCTCGACCCGGTAGCGGGGTGCCCGTACTAATTGTGCAATTTTGTTTGGACAGCAAGATTGAGTGCGGTTTCCGCTTTCTGCTTCACTGGTTCCAGTACCTTCTGGTGCAAGGGAGCGCTGAGATTGGCTGACCGACGCGAGTAGAGAAGCTTGGTAGCGAGGTCTATGTCGGATTCCATGGGAGGCTTCTTTACTCAAAATGCCTGAGCCTGACATCTGCGATCGACAAGCCAAAGACCAGAACCAATAGCTGTTGAATCTGGCTCGCTCTGGATGTTTTACTGACTTCGCCACGGACACGCTGTCAACGTTTGACGTACAAACTGAGGTGGAGGAGGAAAGAAGCTTACGCAACAAACAACCTGCATGTCTAGGCGTCCGCGGGGGGTCTCTTGTTCTAGCTGTATGCTACGTCAGAGAGTAGTCTTGCTGACGGGCCATGTATCCCATGAGATAATCCGGTGTGGTGTAGTTGGCTAGCATATGCCAGAGGAGGACGGCAGCCCTGTATAGACAGGGAAATGTGCCGTGTTGGGCAAGACCCAAGTTCGATCCTTGGCGCCGAAACTCCCAATCCCATGTTTCTTTTACTCTTTTGCTCAATCCACCCGTCTTATTCCAACAACTCGTGACAGTCTTTGCTCAAGCCCATAGACAGAGTCTTGCATATCTGCTAGATCCCTCGCAAGTTCTCTCACAATCCTTGAATACCCAGTTAGCACGCTTCTTCCATACTCCCTCCATTCACGACGTTCAGTTCACACTATACTTACATAGCAACATCCCCAACCTCCTTCGCAATCCTCCTCGTCTCAACCCTAGACAACGACGCCAACAGAGTCACAACATCATTCTTCCGCCGCAACCACACAAACCGCTCCCGAAACCCACACTCCTTGTAATCATTTCTGTAGTAGTCAGGCCACTCCACCTCATCCTCATCGGCATACCCTTTCTCCTCCCTCGCCACGCCTGCACTATCCCTCAGAAACGGCCGCTCGAGATTCCGAAACTGCCGAATCATGTGCTTGATCGCCTCGCGCATGACCCGCAATGCCACATCCTCGTCTTGGGAGTGTCCCGTAAATGAGCGGATCCCAGCCTCTTTCTCCCTTGTGCGACTTCCCGCGCTCTTTCGACGCTCGCGGCGGCGCGCGCGCCGGAGATGTGTGCGCTCTTCGTAGAGGCCCTGCTTCAGATTCGAGAGGTAGTCGTGGATTTCGGTGGGTGCGGCAAAGAAGGTGAAGAGGTTGCTCCAGAAGACGTTGAGGAAGGTTGCGAGGGTGAAAGCGAAGCTAATAAAGCCGATGACCGAGGATGCGAGGGAGATGGGGGCGAGGGCGGAGTGGGTGGAGAGGGTGACGCCCATTGCGTGTCAATTAGACAAGAGCCAATTAGGCAAATTCGGAGGAGGGCACGAGAAGGAGTTGAATGAAAGGTCTGGAGGACAGAGAGGGTATTGTGGGGTGTGTTTACACTTCCAAGTACGCCTCGGCGGACAGCTCGGAAGTACGATGACGGCGTCGCGCTACCATTTAGCGTTCTAACAAGGTGATGCTTGCTATTCTTGATTGGTCATGCAGGATATTCAATTATGCATATTTTGGAGTTCAGATATTGCGGCGAGAATAGTTGTAGGAGTGGTGAGGAGTTCGTTGTTATAGATTCGAATAGCTCATAAATGTGTTGTGAGGTTGGAGCTGAAAAGCACATGCACAATACTCGGCTGCCGCTGAGCAGGGGCGGATAAGTGCACGAAGAGCAGAGTGCTCACTTCGAGTGAACAGGCTAGTTCCAAATGGTGCTGATATGCTCGTTGAAGTTCATCCAAGGTCGATTCAGCGTTGGTGGGAAGAGCGAATTATGTTTAACCTGCTCGATCACGTGATCCCTGATGGACGGCAGGTAGTACTGCTGCATAACGAATTGTAGAAGAATGCTGACGGGCGGAGCTCATTCCAAGGTCGTTTTCTCAAAGTTGAGGCCCATCTCCAGCGCCTCACCATGCATCAGACCATACACATATGCTTCGCCGACAAGCTGATGTCGCCCGTTTGGAAGTCGACGCAACACGAATGGAACTGGCGCTCCTGCGAGCACCCATAGCTCATCGCCTACTTCGAGAGAGCGTGGTCCAGTACCAAGGAACTTAGTATGAGTCCTGAACAATCGCCGCATGGTTCCCCCACCATTATCAAGTTCATGTTGGAGTTGTGCAAGGCCGATGGGAGAGTAAGTTCCATTGAACATGCTCTCTACGACAGCTGTCAAGCGCTGCTTGTATGCCCCGAGATTGTAGGGCGATCCTTGGGGTTCAGCTGAAAGAAGAGCATGCCATTCAGGGTATATTGATGCAGAAAGAGGATTGTGCTGAGGCTGAAAGTCAATCTCGCTGGACCAGGGCGTCAATCTGTGTCGTATTTGTAGATTCAAGATGTAATCAACAAAGAGCTCCCCGGTCCTAGTTGGAGCCGGGTGTTGGCGTGCGTATGTGTTCGTAGTCAAAGTCCTCCAGAGAACCTCGACGCGTGATATTTCCCGATATTTGGGTCGACAGGTTCGATAATAGTCGTCCAACCCTAGTGCTAAACTAACGATGCTAGCCCAGGGCGCGACAGGATCTAACGATTCTTCTCGCATAACGGATGTATGATCAATTACGTCCAAGAAATAGCCTTGGACGGGAAGTAGGCCGTTGTTCATGGCGGCAACGTCAGGTGTCCATAAGAGCTTGCCGGAAGCTTGCCAAAGTTTCCATTGTACGACCCCGCGAAATTTGAGAGGGTAGGGCTTTATGGCGACCGAGTAGTCGGGAACCCATGAGGGAAGGTTTGGGATCTTGGTCCGGGATCGATCTTCCTTATGGCATAGAATATCTAGGTGTTTGTTTGCTACTAAGAGCGCTCGGACTGTCTCAGAGTACACTTGCTGTACCGACAGCTTATAATCTGCAGCTAAGGCTCTTGCTTGGGTATTGAATGGCGGTGCCTTCCTATCCGCGAGTCCAAGAAATGCGTAAACTTTATCCCTCGGATCAGTAGACCCGGAGAAACGATGCATGTCGAGAAGAACGCGAAGTGATGGTTTTCGTCGCCGAACGGTCGAATGCGGAACTAATCGGCCGGAAGCAGCTACCTGTATCCTGGTCCGATCAAGATAAAACGATGACATGTCGACGTCTGCCTTCGACTTCAGAAAGTTTTTATATACCCCTGGGGTTTCTCTGACGGCCGCGACATGTCGCAACTTTTCGGTCGATAGATGATGGTACCACCGACTCTTTTTGATAAAAGCTAATGTTTTGGAGAGCTTGTCCCACAAAAAGGTATTTTGACCACACACAAGCACTGCAGATCTGGCTAGAGCAATCTCTTGGACGACCCATGCCCTTTTGAACCAGGGTCGATTGATAAACGCGATGAATCCAATCCAGTTGAAAATAGATAGGTGTGATATTCCAAGTTCTTTGAGGCATCCTTCGTCCGCGTAAAAACTTGTGTAGCTTGCGGAATCCCAGTGGGGCTCTGGGATATTTGATATAGCATTGATCACAGATAATGCATCAGACGTATATTCGTCCTCTTTCCCAAGCCACACAATAACCTTTTGAGCAGCTTTGAATGTTTCTGCCATAAGGGCGACCTATCCATTCATTAGAAGGGGCTTTCGTTATGAGAGCTGGAACAACCACCTGAAGGTTTCTCTCGATGATGTTTTTCTGATCAACACATATAGCATCAATCCAATAGTAAGTAGACTCGGTAATGTTCCTAGTAGCACTAAGAGACTTGCATAGCATTTGCAAGGCATCTTTGAGATTTGCGGTGACGAAGATGCTGGAATCGTCGCAGATGATGGGATATCGACGTATTCGTCCGGAAGAATCATTATTGCTGGGCAGGTCTAGTTTCTTTGAAGCATGCGGAAGACGAGTCGCGTTAGCTGAGGTTGCTGTTGGTCTTCGTCCTCTTGCAGCAGGTAATGAAGCTCTTGAGAGCTGGGGCAAGGGGTTGCCCCAAGTATAACTTAACGCGTCGAACGGCGGGGCTTCTTGAAGCTCATAGGCTTTTAACGAGCATGATATCTTGCCATCGTTCGCAGGGGACAGTTCCAAGAGACGTATCGAGGTTGCCGACGGCAATGGCGCATATTGGTACTGTCGAGTTCGCCAGATCTGGGTAAAGCGCGACCGGGCGTTGATGAAGAATCTGGGACTCCTCATAAGGCTCACAGTAGAAGTCCCAAAGCCTTCAGAGGTGGTATTTTGAAGTAGTAGTTCATGTGTAAAAGAAGGTGGAGGAGATGTAGGGAATGTTCCTGGTGTCAGCTTCAACCGTGCATGCGGAGCCAGTCGCGAACAGCTGTGGCGGTGCATAGCTGTGGCGGTGCATCATCTTACCCCTTCCAACCTTCAGAAGTAGTGTTAGCCGAACTGATGTTCACCTGGCACCCTGCTCAAGTGGACAGGCCGAAAGTGTTTTGCGGGTCATTTTGACCTTCGAAAGACGCTGTAATGTCTCCAGGTAAGCGTAGTTGAATCAGAATACTTCCACATGTATGTACTGTACATAGCAACGTCCGAAGGTCTTCAATTACGTTTAAGAGTTGGGAAAAAATGCCATGAACTGTCCCCTAAGATTGAATAGTAGTTCAGATTTCAGCTTTAGTATGTTGACTCAAAGATAGCTCACCACTTTAACTCGACAACATGATTGAGTGCATTGTCAGCGACGCTATATAGTATTGGAGGAGCTTCTTTCGCTATCTTCGAATACGACTTTCCGAACCAAGCCGTGGAAACCTTTTGCGGATCCACTTCATCTACGACCAAGAAATTAAGAGAGGAGTATACGCAGTTACCTAATACCTAAGCGCCCCCATTCGTTACCGTCGTTTGATCCCCTTTTCCACACATCCATGCAGGCCTACGCCATATCATCCGCCTTAATCACAGGTACTCCTAGCCTCCCCCCGGTCGGAACCGCCGTCCCGCTCAACTCGGCTCTCTCGCCCGCCTTCCCAACCACCGCCCCATCTCTATCCGCTTCACTCACCCCGTGCTGCTCATCCATCTCTACCCTCTGCTGTGCTTCAAGCTCAGCCCTATCACCTCTCCAATCCTGTCCATGGACCTCTGCTAGCGACGTCGGTGATAGCTCGTGCGGGTCCCCTTTAGCCTCCAGCTCCCACGGCAATTCCACCCCAGGCGCTTCGAGGGCGTGCTTGTTGTCGCCCACAGCTTCAAGTCGCTCACCAGTCGTCGGAGCTTCGTTCATAGGCGTCGCGGGGCGGCTTGGGGGTTTAGGGTGGCGCTTCCTGTAGATAAGATACGCGACGGCAAGGAGAACGGCGAAGCCAGCGATAGACCCAATAACTGCGCCGACAATCGTACCAGTGTGCGATTTCTTATGGGTTGTCTGGGGCGTAGCGGTCGCAGTCGGACCCAGGGTTGTTCTTGTTGCGCTCATCACAGCCGCCAACGCTGTGTTTCCATACCCTTTCTCCGGCGCTTTGAGTGTTGCGGCACCAAGGGGGTCACCGCCGATTGCGTTCACGATGGCGGGGGT